CAACCTTGTCAGTTACACACGAAATTGAGAAGACAAAAAGCCTTGAGGAATTTATACTGCGGCAACTGAACAGCCAATATCGAGATTCGAAGAATCAGGAATGGAATGGAACAAACAGTCCAATGAAAGGCTGAAATATAGAGAGAGAAATGTGAGCAATATCTTCGTAGGAGGAGTGCCTCCTAACAGAAACAGTCATGGTAAAGTGAATACTTACCTTATTCGTCCGTATTTATACTAGATTATGGAAACCAACGTGCCATAAGTCAGTTCTGTCTTTACGGTCCTGTTCTCCGGCATCCTATCGGGGGCAGTGGCAGTACGGGTCTTGTGTGAAACCGACTCATTCTGCTACAGAAACCAGTTGCTGTACACCAAAGTACGACATGACCGAAGGCTGAAACTATTGGGGCCCATTGGGTTTCACCTAAAGCGCAACTCTTACTTCGTTTTTATTTTCAGTCAAAATACAACAAAGTTGGCTTCGTAATATCCTCTCAGGTATATATTTTAGCTTCTTATTTTACTTTTATCCGCATTTTCAGGCCCCTGACTGATCTGGGGGTGATGGAGTATCTGGCCCGGCTTGATGAGTTGCCGACGGTCGAAGAGGCTTTAAAGCTACCATATGATGATTATATGAAGTATGCTAAAGGTGTACTAGAGTACCGGGATTATTGCTTCGATGGTTTTGCGGAAGCGATCACAAAGGTCCACGAGTGGTGTATTCATTTGAATTGCTCGGGAGTTACACGGACATGCGCGTCGCTGGAGACAACGACGACTGTCACGTAAGGTTTTTTGTCGCTGTCGAATACTTTTCAGCTGAGCAGTGTAACCTGGATGCGATAGCTTAAGCGAACGTACTTCTGAGTTGTCATCAGTTTATTTATAACCCATTCGCAGTACCCGAATTCGACCGGCGCCTTTCTTAAAGGAATCATGATGCATATCAACATCGATTCAAAGTATACGGTTCTTGAGTACCAGAAAAAAAAACCCTCAGTTATATAGTTCATTCATTCCGCGTACCCCACAAGGTTTTGCGTATTGATTAAACCGATAAACTAGGATTATTTTATCTGTACGTTATGGACGAAGGATATGACCGCTTCAAACTGACTTGTGGTTTGCTCTGAACTTGTCAGGAAACTGAGTTGAATAATTAGTTTGCTTTGTTTGTTCTCCTTTCACTTCCACGGTAGCGAAGACATTCATTTGGAACGTAATCAAGCAGCTGAGAGTTATGTGCACTTTTACACACTCTGTTGTAGCCCGGTTTTCATTTCTCCGGTCTTACTCGTCGAACAATTCACGGAGTTCGCGCTTTCAGATAACACTCGAACTTTTTTCCATACCCTTGCAATCGTCCACTAGTTTAAACAGCATGTGGTAACCGTTTGGCACACAGGATTGTGCCTGCACACTGAGTGAAGCATTTTGGTTACATTTATCAATTGGGAGTGTATCCTTCGGGGCATACAACCTATTGAACTAGCTAGTACTTTCTTGACAGTCAGTTAACTAATTTCCGGTGAAATTTAACGTGAAAAATGTTCGCAACTTTTGAATCGCCGTTTGTCTCTAGAGTAAAACTAACACACTCATTCAATGTGCTTAATGACAGAACCATTATGCGATCGATTTGAGCTTCTAATCATCAGTAAAAAACGATGTCAAATGACATTAGGAGTATTCTCCTTGATAATACACTACTACTCTAAAACTATAAGCAGTGTTGTATCAAGAAAAACACTTTAGTCCCTTGAAGGTCGTTGCAACCGAAACATGAGACGATGTTTAGCAGGAAATTACTGTGAGCGAGAGATTCGATTACGATCCTTCTAAGTCTGCCGTTAACATCAATCTAATTTGCAAATGTATTAGTAGTATGTTTAAACATATCTCTGGTACCCATAACGTGTATCCCAATTTACCTGTGTTTTTTCTATACTAGTACCTTCGTAACGACCGCCATGGAAGGACTAACACCGAATGCCTCAGTTTTCCAGTTGATTGAATCTCTTCGTTCCAACCACTCCAAGTGTTATGACGATTACTTGTGTGACCATCCAGGAATGAGTCAAGCGAACCACTACGTGCTCGGGTTTGCCTGTTTCTTCCTGTGCCTCGGAGGGATCGTGAGTAACTTGGTCCTGCTCCCAGCATACAATCTGGGCTTGAATCGATCCGGAGCCACCGTCTACCTGACTGCCATGGCCGTGTTAGATCTACTCTATTTGTTCCTCGCTTTGGTCATGGTGGTTTCTCGTTACATGACAAGTGACTTTCAGGAACAAATGGTTTCATACGCCCGCTTCTCAGCTCGCCTTGTTCCAGTTGGTTTACCTTTGATGCAAATGTGTGAGCTCGTTGTGGTAGGTTCTATTTGCAGTGGTTTCCTTTCTACTGATTTCATAGCACTGGCTTACCTATGTATCCCAACATTCTCCCCCTTGATCGAGAGTCCCTTGGGTGATTGTTCAGCCACAACTTGTTTTTAGTTTCACCATTCATTAAGGTGCACATTGAAGTATACCACACCAGTTGAATATTTTCATCCAAGTGTTTTTACGCCCTTGTCAACTCGATGCTAATGACAGTCTCTAATGCGTAGTTATCTCATATAGACCTGTTACCACGATTGACGAGGTTTTTCCGTAGAATTACCGGACTATTGATTTCGTGAATTGTCATCTGCGGTACAATGTTCTGAAGCGAACTTCATCGGGACCAAGCAGAATCGTTCGCTTCACTGAACTCTTACTCTCACGGTTCAGAATTTCACTGTTCTTATAGTACGCGAAAATACCCCATCCGCGTTTTCAAGAGGCCCGTTAAAGTTCCCCTCAGGCTGCGCACGAGCTAGTTATCAGAAGGACTTTTGGTGGATTCGCCCTTTACGCCTCTTGAGAAAATACCATATTTGACAGCAGGATATACTCCGGCGGCATATTGACGGGCTTTGTTTTGTTATTCTCCGTGACTTCCGGGTAGAAGTCTAGTCTCAGTTGACATTTTAAATATTTTGGCCTCTAGTGCTTAGTGTTTTTGCACGTCTCAATCAGTGTCATCCACAGTACAAATCAAATTCCAATTAACATGAAGTATAAGCTTCTGATTGAATCGCGTGGGTATTCGTGACTCGCATAATGGTAGATTAATGAAAACTTCGACGTAGCGCCGTCGTCCACACTGCATCGCGATGGAAGTATAACGATCGATTTCATACTCATTGTTTGTTGCTCTACGTGTGAACTATTCCTAGAGCTACTCAGGACCAAACATGCGCCAGTTCTTAACGGGGACGAGATGGACCAATTGGTTAGAGCGCGAATTTACTGACCGGAAGGTCTGTGTTTCGAACCCGACCTCTGCCACTCGACTTCCCCTGTCTAGGCTTGGGTGACCTGACAGTATTCCAGCCCTCGTGCCTCCTTCGCGTGGCATGGCAGTTAGGTACCGAAAGGGTGTTACAGCTGGACGATTTCTTAACGTTTCTGACTTTCTTTTTTCCGAGTAATCTGTCCAGCCTCTTTGTTTATGAAGACACGACAGACCATCCATGCATTCTTACACATACGACTTGGACTGGCCGTTTTAATAGCACGTACTTTTGAGACCTGGCCTTCGATTTGATTAAAAGGAAACACAAGAATTCAGCAGTTGTTACATTATCACGGCAAGGTGGTATAGACTGCGGAATGTTAATATTTCATTTTGATTTCACCAGCCGCCTACTGAAAACAACAAAGTTTATGTGGTTTAAATACGAAAATGGGGATGGACATGGCCAACCAATATGTGGACTAATCAGTTCGATCTCTTCCTACAGGATAAGATAACTGCGTATCTCAAGGTCCTCTACGCAAATGCGTCGTCCCGCTGTGTACCGCTTTGTGTACAAATGTATCTTTAGTTTGAACCCCTTCAATCAAAATGCATGTGTGCAATTATGCAGCTTGAGCTCAGCTCATTGGCTAAGGCGTGAACTTTCTGACCGGAAGGTCCGTCCCAACGTCGGCATCTAGACTGCTCCTGTCTAGGTAACCTATCAGTATCTCAGCCTTCGTGCGTCTTTCGGGTGGCATGGAAGCTATGCACCAAAAGGGTGCTGCAGCCGAACGAGTTCCTTCATATAATCCATCAGGGAGTATTTTCTTATCCTCCGCAGCATACTATCTAGAGAGAAATACCTGCACACCAGATTTGGTAGGGCAGAATACCCCCAGACACACTGACAACTAATAACGGGAATAAGTTCGTTCGATGTCATTCAACGATGGATATGCTCCACTCGAAACCAAGTGTTTACCTGATGGTTGTTGCCATATAATCTCTACAGTGGATCATGGTGAATATCATATGACAGCCTGGATCCTTATCAGTGGCAAATTTGGATATCTAGAGAACTCGGAACCTGTGTCCTTCTGTGGATATTTAGACGCTTTAAGGTCCGGCCACAGACAGTTTATCTGTAATAACGAGATTGTAATTAGACAGGCGTTACACTCCTTCGCGCACTCAGCTTATTTCCGATGACCCGATATTAGTGAACTCTCGTATAGGGGTTTCCTTTCTGAACAGATCGCATTCTGTTTGCAATGCGATCACTTGTTCCATACGTTTTTAGGGTAAGTAGATGTGCACTAAACTGTCAGTTCAGCCTTTTCTGTGTTGTGTTCGGTGACCACTAACTCTCTTGACTATGTGGAAAAAGCTGGGTTCATTTCTTCATACGAATTCAATGGATAGATATACTGAAAAAGACAACACCCTTTAACAATCTGACAACATTCGCTATATTCACTACTGTGAGGTGCAGTTTTTTGGGGAACATGTATGGTGATTAGGAGGTCGAGCGAAAAAACAGACGCGCCATCCCAAACACTTTTCAGTGAGCCAACAGTTCATGGCAACCAAACTCGTCCACATCCTCTGTAGCCAGTATCTGTAGGATTTAGCCAGTTCATAAAACACCATTGATACCAAATTTCTGAATAGACAAGCTCTTTTTTAACTGACCGTTCAAAACAACGTAATATCATTGAAAACGTATCGGCTGAGGTATGGAAAAGTCGTGCGGCCTATGTTCATTCCTCTGAATAGACCCGCCCCGAAGTCACAAGGGTCGTTTTTCTCAGATTTCTCCAAATTGCCTACGGTCGATTCTCAAAGGATGGTGTAACCTTTTCTCCATTGCAGTTGAACTTCCTTGGCGCATTCACCATACCATTGTTTATCGTAGTTTGTCGGTGTCCTTCTTATGTCCGACCAATTACTTGAAATCCCTATAGAGAAATTGAATTTTATTAGTAAAGACACCTCGTTCGGGAAGGGCCACACCAAGACATCGATTAACAATGACCTCAATAAGGGTCTATCCAGAGAGAAAGTCTGTCCAATAATCACGGATACTTTATCGAAATTCATAAACTGGTGACTGTGTTTTTCAGGCCCTATTATATAGAAGAGTGACAGCTCAGCTAGTAATTCAAGTGACCACACGTCGGTGTCTCTGTCTCCTGAGATACCTTCACGATCTCATTTCGTATTGTCTCACTGGAAGTCAGTACCCTTACTTTCTCTTCCCTGACTAAGGTTTTCTTGTTGGTATGCTCCGAATTTCAGCTGAAATTAATGGACAACTAGCTGTTCACGGATTACACATGACCTTGTCTGTGGCTCACATCAGTCAGTTGCCAGACTTCTGGAAGTTAAGGACGAGGAAATAGAGAATGTTCATCTCATTCTAGTGCGTATTTATTCAAGACACAAACCGAACCTTTTGTCTAAACAGTATGCTCAAAGAAATGTACACAAAAGGAATCAATTTATCTGCCTCTACATCTGTTAGTATCACACATCAGGTCCGGATCACACACTTTTCTCTGTTTCTATATTTTGTACATTGCATGGGGGCAAATATACTTTAAAAATGCAGTTGTTGTCATCCGTTGTACCGCTTCTGATAAGTTTAACTCGACTAATTTTTGTATCGTGGCATGATGTTGTGGTAGGTTTAGTCATTCTAGAGATTGCCGACAATTCTACCCTATCTTCTCTGGAAACTGCCACGAACAATGGTACTGGGTAAGCCTGGAAATCCTTTGGTCACCGATCCAGTTCTATCACTTTTTCGCCAAGTGACACTCTATGGACCGTTTTGGCTTTCCGTGTTTGGTGCCATTGTCGGTTGCTAGCATCATCAGCTACCAACGGGAGATATATTCTACAGCGATTAAAGCTGTCATGGTCCCCCACGCTCATGACTCGAAAAGATGTGATGTATAGAACACTCCAGACGAAAGGAATCCAGAGGACAGGAAAGCAATCTGTAAACTGATCGTGGCCTTCAGGTAGTGCGTCAATCCACGTCGACATGTTAGCTCCGTCCACTTATCTTATAACCCTCTGGGCTTTCAACACTTATCATCTCATTCATTTTTTGTGTCGTTTACCATTAACTGCAGGTTTGGCTCGTTGTAGCGCTGCTAGCCAATCGGTTGATGTATCTGAAATTCGGTTGTCAAGCCAAGTTGTTGTGTTCCCAGTTACAAGCGTTCAAGTCAGTCGCTGCTCTGATCGCGTTTGGCGTGGCTTATTCTGGCTGTAAATTTTTGGAGTACAGACTGGAAGAATTCAACTCAACGGACGTGGTGCGCGTCGTATTCACGCCAGTTGGGGGAACTTCACTGTACAAGTACGTTTCTCTTGGAGTACTTCCTCAAGTCAACGCCTGTTATACCCATAGGTTCTCATGATGATACACTATGGGTACTCGCAGTATGACGCTCCTGTTTTCAAAACCAGACACGACCTTTCTAACACACGAATATGTGAATCTCTATTTAAAACAAAAGAGTGACTTACGACAGACAATCGGTTTACATTATTTACTACCTTTTTATGTTGTTCGTTTGTCTAAGAACTTCGGACCTCGCACTTTCAGGACTAAGTTTCGACTATGTCAAACCAAAGACGAGTGAATTCGAAAAAAACGTAACCCCTGAAATTGCGTCCCCTGTATGCATCTTCTTGAAGACATTTGCTGAAAAACATCTCACCTGTTTGTACACATTAGTTGTTTGCAAAGCGTTCAATGTGCAGCAATACTCGGTCGTTGATTATGGATTGATGCCCGCATTAAGTTGATGAAAAGCTGACGTGCTATCAGGGAGTAAAAATTGTTACTGGCTTTTCCAGAAACAGTGATATGTTCGGCCCCCTTAACCAGCCTAATTGTGATCGGCAACCGTGTTTTTACTTGGAATTCCACATAAACTAGGAGCTAACGCAGACAGACGCGAAGGATGTTATGGGATACTCAATTTCTTTCTATGGTTGGTTGCTGCCTCACTATATCGGGAAAAGAGAACGCCATTTCTGCATAGCTCACTTAGGTGCAGCCGAACTCATCCAATGGTGGTTACCATCTGTCTCATGTGGTTGAATCATCGGCCGTTTTTGTCCGTCCATTGCCTTTCCTCGGTTTGGTTGTGTGCCACAATCTTATAATAATAAGGCTTCTTTCCATCTGCCCGCCACCTCTGCATGGGAACTGATGCGTCTATGCCTCGTCTAAGGTCCGGCTGATGTTGCACCACGCATTGCTCTTTATGGCTTATAACGTGCAACAAATTGTTAGCTTTTCATTCCAGAATTATTTCAATTTCTGTCCACATCACTGTTTCTCGAACAATATTTCCTAGTTCATGCGTTGTTCTCTCGCCGATGATCAGTATTCTGACGTGCGCACAATACACCTTGCTTGGTCTGTTTCAATACGAGCGAATAATTTTTCCCCTGTTGACCTTTATTCTAGGAACTTGATGTACCATTGGCTCAAGGTACCACTTCAAATGTTCCTACCGTACCTCATTGTGGGTGTGCTCATCTCTGTGGTCGTCAGTAAAATGTTGAACTTGCATACCTCAAAGTGGAAGGCAGTCGCCAGTCTTTGTAACGACACCGCTTGCGCTTGTGTTTGCCGCACAGGGGTTTGTGGTTCCGAGTGTCAAGAAGGTGCTTTCAAACGCATAGCACCCCCGACAGTGCAAATTGTACACGCTTCTCGCAACCAATCTGCCGCGGATATCACGCCGGAAGTACGCATCGACCAACCGTCAGTACACAATCCACCGTCGAATACGGGCGGGAAGCTAATGAAGCATGTCTCCACCGAGGCTCTAGATCCAATCGAAGAGGAATTAGCTTACCTCTTTTTCGAATTGCCTCACGTGGACGAGACACGAGAGCACGCCAATGTGGTTACTGCTGTTTGTATTGGTCTCTTGCTACTCTTGTTCAAACTACCAAAGTTCTTGTCGCACGTCTTGACCACAGAAGACTATATCCACTATGATCCTGTCGTGGTTACAATGGTCGATCACTTTTTGGATACCATTTTTGCCGCCTGCAAACCATCCGTGTGCATTTTGGTTGGTGCACACTTTAGGCGTGTGCTACTTACGCCCGCGCAATGCTGTCTGATTCACTCAACAGAAGCGGTTATTGCTGTCCGTTCCCCTGAGACAAATCCGGATGTGGAGATGCAAGATCTTTCCGCCGTGTAATTTCTGAAGCACTGTCATTTCCCTGTTCGTACGTGCAATACCATACACTAGTCTTCATTGTCTGAGATCGGCTATTAGTTTTCATTTGTTTCCCTATTATGCTACACACACTCTATGTAACCGCATTTTATCCATCCTCTCTATCAGCACGTTTTGCTATATCTCTCGGAGTCTTTCAAACAACTAGCGCCCCGTACGTCGTCGGTTTTGTTGTTGCAAACGTCCTAGTCATTTCATCTGACGGCAAATAGGTGTAAATTCGACACTCCCCACTACACTATTGACTTTCAGTACCGTTGCTGTGATAAACCGTCACTTTTTTCCGTTTACTGTCGTCTGTTGTATTAGCACCTTGTTTCACGTATACCACTTCATACTGCATTTATCTCCGATTTCCGGCATACAACCTGTTGTTGTGTCTATGAATGTTCATGAGAAGGATTTATGGGCTACGTGGAAAAAAACTCTTCTCGTCCGTAGTACATCAAATGTGATCGTTTTTATAAGACCCGACGTGAAATGCGCATAACCATACTTCCGAGCAAAGTACGCTGTACTAACGACGCTCCGGGAAGCTATCGTTATGTTGTCAACACCAGAATTTCGTGATCTAATTGCATTGTGTTTCTGGCATTCCGCCATCGCAGAAGCATACGTTTAGGGGGATAACCATTATTTCTTCCCAAGCCGTTTGGATGATCTCACATTCATTTACGAGATTTGGTCCCAACCCTCGAGTTTTTGTTGACCTTATACTTCAGGTATGTACTGTTTGAATTATCTTAAAAGAACCACTCCATGGGACTTGGTTTCGGTGAGGATAAGAACTCAGTCCGGCTGGTCCATCGATTTTCAACTCTCCTCCTGATGTGTACACATTAGAGGCGTAGCGTGATAGAGCAATTTCCTCCCGAAACAAATCAGGGCTGATTGCGCTCGTTTTTGCTAGCTACGGAATTATCTGCTGTTGCAATAGGTTTCTGTACGTTGAGACCACTAGGGATATCGATTAGACACTACCTGTCGGTAGGATTATCCCGAAAGAAAAAAGATCCAATCGATATTGTCGAAATACCTGCTCAGTCAACCTAGCCTAATGTTTAACGAGTGAAGACTTGTAGCCACGTGCCTGTATTTGATCCACAACCTACTAGTGCAAGCCTTGGTGTTCATGCATAAACTGAGAAATGCGTCAATGTGGCCAGACTTTCCATCGGGAATTGCGGCAAGTCATGCAAATTGGTAAATCTACAAATTCGGAGTTACTGCATGATCTTCTGAGGGAATGTTGCTTGGTATCACACTACCGGGAAGCTATTCGTTTACTCCTTTCGAATTCGCTTATTGAGTTAACGTATACGTGCTTTCTTCTGTTTTCTATCCATCAATTCCAGGTCGGTCTACGATTGCATTGGATTGTGACACTCACGCAGGCATCGATCTTGCCACCGGTGTCCTGTACGCACAGCATTGTTCAGGTTTCCTTAGCCTGCACAGAGAGTATTCGCTACCGCTCGACCGATTCTGAGCAGTCCATGCCACAATCTGCTTGATGCATTTAAATGACCTAGTTAATGGACAAGTGAGAACGTGCGAGCAACGTCGTGCTGCAGTGCACACGGTGGTAGAGTCTGCTATCGGGTAATTTATCGGTCTTCAGGTTCTCCAGAGTCGCCCACAGTGTGACGTTTGGATTACGCGCACCGATGGTGTTTCAGAAACTATGGAAACATATTTTCAGGAGTGACATGCGGTAGGTCCTTCGGCGAACTGCAGCTTTTCACAGCAGATTGACGGTTTGGTGAGTCTGTTTTTCAAACATGCTCTACATAGACCAGAGAATCGAGGCATTGTCCAGTGGGTTGCGTTCCAGCCACATAGCGTACAGGAGCTCATCGGAGAGCATTCTCGGGCGTCCGCTACCGTCATCCATCCGTAGGCTGACCTCAGTCACCTCGAGAATACACTATATGTTTAATGTGATAGGCCTCGTTGTCTGCATCCAGGTGGAAATCACACCTCGAACTCCGAATTTCGATGCCAGTTATGGTAGCGTGCGCACCCTCCAAGAAGTCATTCTTTTTAGAATTCCACTGGTACTTCATTGGTCTGCGAAGAAGAAGCTGAAAGTCAGCCCACCTTCTTTCGCTTAGACAAACTGATAACTGGACTTCAGAATAAATGATAGCAAACGAATTTGCAGGACAGTGCCTACTTACGTGGTTTTACTCAGAATAAAATGCAGACCACCATTCAAGCAGAAACCGCCCGTGGCGAATGTATAGTTTTGTCAATGAAGCACTGTCTGACTTCGCGCTGGGATAAAGAAACCTTGGAACACAGACGCGTCGGTGAGTGAGTAGTTCCAGGTGTACATATGAGGGAGCATGGATTCTTGACGACCAATATCAAAATATCTCGTATTCGGATGGCATCCTACAATACTTTGTATCCGAATTTCCGCTTTCCTTTCCTTCCATCTGAAGAAGATTGAGTTGGCTTTGATTTGCTGCAGCACATGAACAGCATTCGTCAGCAATGTCTGGACGTGGGTTCGCCTACCCAATTCTCATCCTCGGTCTGTAAGCCAAACAAACTGCCCAGTTTCCACGTAAAAGGATTGATCACTTCATTTCAGAAAAGCTTGATAAACATTCGGTTGTTTTTATTTGGGCAACGTTTTGCTTTTGACACAAAAGCTTCATCAGGCAAAGTGAGCAGGTCACCAAAGTGGCTAGGTTATAAGGCAGACGGGGAACCAATCAGTAAGTCAGTCCTCTTCAGATTATCACACTAGATCAGTGTTGAGTGTCAATTAACGGCTCTTGTCGGTTAGTAAAGTTGTCAAAATCTTGCTTTGGTGGATTGTGAGGGGGTTCAGATTAATTCTGATCGGGTTTGGTTCGTTAATCATCCGCTTCAGGATGCTTCAGTTGATGATTCACCTCGGTTGTCATTAAGGTGTCCTAGGCTGAAAAAGCAAGGACGAATAGTCGGGGTTCATCATAAAGACAAATCGCCCCTAACCAATCTATCGTAAATCTTAGTCATCCCCACTAACCAACAAACAGGAACATCAGACTGAACACCCAGCACTGATCAAGTCACTAGTCATAAGGAATCTCACGTATTGGTTCCCTGACTGCCTTAAATCCCAATCAACCTACTTACTTACTCACTTGGCTTGACGAAGCTTTTGTGTCAAAAGCGAAACGTTGCCCAGCAATAAATCCACCGATTGTTTACCAAACCCCTCTGAAACGATGACTTCCCAATCAGTCCCAGACATTTTCCAATTGAGTAGATGGTGCAATTCTGATTCATGCCGGGAAACAGTATAGATCTTCATTAGACCGATATCACTACTGTCTTCAACTACAGAAAGGTATATCCTGCAGGGCAACCATATTTTCCAGCGAGACTGAGCGAGTCAACCGGAACTGGTCAGTTGAATCGATACTAGCCTTGGCATTTCGTCCACCCTTCATCCTTGCCTGTTACATAAATACCGTGGAAATTTAGCGAAAACTCGATCTGGATCCATTAACTCAGGCTTCTTTACCTTACCGATGCTCAGTTTCTGTTTCTTCTATCTCACCGGCGTTTTCTTGCGCATATCAGTAGTGTTTGGTACACGGAACTAGCAAGATTTTCCACATTCCGGATGTATGTCCATTAACCAGGACTGCTATCGATCCACTCTTACACTGTTTCACAATTTCGTCGTTTTGGGTAGAGTTTCTGTAACACTGGGTTTTTTTAACGAAACTCAGATCTTCTTGTACTACCTCGGCGACGATGGAGATAGCAACGAAATTTTACCCGTGAATTAGCGAGGTGTAAGCGATGATGACAGACCGCGGTGATTGCTGTGTGAAAATGAAACGCCAAAGACCGTTAGACATCTTGTTGTGGTCAAGATGGGAATGAATAAGTCATCTAGACTGTGAGCTACAAATGGTGGATCGTGGTCCAAACCAGCCTTGGTATCTCCGGCATCGCAATACTACACACATGCTTCCACAGCTTGATGGAAAGTGACCTAGTCAGGAGGGAACAAATACACATCTGATCAACGATTTGCGAGATCGGATGTGCCCTATTGGAAACGGAACCGTAAATAACCTACTTCCAGTATACACATCAGACAACGCGATTTGCGATAGCCGCTTATGGTTGCACTACGACGGCTGTTCATCACAACCCGCTTGCACCCTAGTCCGGCTGTGTCTTGCAAATCGGTATCATCCGTCTTGTTCGCACATTTTCGAGGTTCTTTTTAGATGTCAATGGTGTACATTTCCATCTTGTTGCAGGTGCTTACTAGATTTCTGGAATTCAACTCCAAATGACCCTGTCCTTGAGCAATTATTCTGGTGAGTCCACACCAAATGGAAAGCACCGGATTTGAGTTTCCCGACAAGCGGGGCAATCGATCGACACAACCAGGAGAGCTATTGGTCCTTCGTTGAGCAAACCTATCACATCACTGAAGCGTGAAAACGGCTGAATGTTCACACGAAGTTTTTCAGCGTACATTGGTAGAATCGTGGTAACACGCTCACGCCATATACCGGATGTCCGGAAGTAAAAAGCAGGAACGGCCAGGAATATGTACTGGTAATATGAGCGAAACTCTAGTCAGATACTTCCCCTCTTTGGTGCGAACTCACCGAAGCAGCTGCATCAGGACAGGAGGAAGACTCTTCAAACGAGAGTGGACGGCGATGTGATCATTGGTTTTTATTCCGACTTTCACATTCGATTCATCGAGTTTTAACAGCTCAGCACTTTGTCGTTAGTCACTAGAGACAACAAGAACTCGTGCCCCCGAATACAAATTGGCTGCAGGGGAAGATCCGCCCTTCTCCGAAAGGCCAGAGTTCACTGCGCAGTGGTGGGCGCCATTTTGTTATAGGGATATACAACCTGACGCTCCCCTACTGTATACACTTAGAAATAGCTGTCTTCATAGCATCGCGTACATCTGGAAGAAACGTGTCTGCAGTGATTCGGTACATTGGAGAATGTTGGACGCGCAGAGCTCCACTCTGACTACCATTGTTTAGCTACACATATTGAGTTGGGTGGGACAGGTTTTACCCGAATCCAGCATCTAGCATGTTGCACATTATTTGGACTGTGATTCAAAGTGAGATAGAAAGCAAAAAAGTGATGAAAACGACTGCTTAACTAGCCGATCAACCCGGTTTTCAGATTGCCGTTGGCCGTAAGCGTAAGGGTGTAACGGTAGATACTACTGACGAAGCATGCGAGTAGTATGCGGTTTTCTCGTAAGTCCGCTTCGCGTCTATTGAAAAGTGAGATTTATTACGCAATTTGTGGAATCGCTTTGTAGCATTCGCTTACGTTTGAGTGATAGTCAACAAGTATCCAGGAAAGTCCAGGAAGGCGCGTTCGAGAAGAAGACGGATACACAGTTTTTATCAACAAGATGCATATGAGAGTTTTGCTTTCCTGTCCAATAGTTTGTAACTGTTCAGTTGGTGTTTTTCAATATGTAACTCCGCAGGGAAGGCCTCTTTCCTTTCAAGGGTATATCTCAGTTGTGGGATTACTCGGAACGTTGACATCGCGACCGGTCAAACTGGCAAACGGGGAAAAAACTATATACATGAAGAACACGTACAAAGGAAAATTCCTTTTTTCCCCATTCTACTTGTTGCAGTCATTTCATTCTTCGTTCTACGGTTCGTTAGGCACCACAACTGGTTGCAGGTTCGTCGAGCTCATGATGCTGGTGATGCAACTCTAGATGGGGAACATCTGCTTCACTCATAAGAACCTTGACCGGTTTGATTCATTATTCGAATCCAGAGAGTCGTTTAGGGTCCGTGGTTTTCCACCAAAACAATGCGGCGACTCACCAGATTATGGCTACTGTATTTCATCTGACCGAAGAATTTTCGGATCTCTAGATGTGAAGTGTTCACACGAACGACTATTCTTCCATACAGTACATGAAGTGACGTTTGACCCTTGGTGAATAGCATAAAGCCGACTTATTGGATTGTGTAAACGTCCCCTTGAAAGTCAACGACAAGAGGACCCTGTCACCGAGTGCCAAACGTTCGTGATACCACTCCATCCCGTCCAGGGTTCTGATGATCTATCCAATTGACCTTCGCTTCTACGGGGACCAGTCGACCCTTCCTGCCTGCTGTCTTGAGTTTATTTATCCCCCCTACACCGCTGTCAAGTTTTCCCGTTCTCTCCTTCTTCCCCGTAATGCTTTCAGTTATAATATACCAAACTCCACAATCCGACGTTTTTGAGTGCTTCAGAAGTTGAAGGAAAATGGGGTGCCTCTAGTAGTATCCAATGCACGATATACGACTACAACGGGATTACAACAAACCGGGCCTTCCATATTACAAACTTTATTCAATCGCGAAAATAAGTAGGAAAGAATGACCGAAAACTGTACATACATTGAAGACAAAGCACTGTTTGTGACGTAACGATGCCTGTTAGGTGAGTTTATATTGTCTTCGCTGTGTCTGATAGATCTTACTTTCGCCTTCTAACACATTCAACACACGACCAAGAGCAGCAAGTGTCAGCCGGTAATATTCTCTCGGATTTTCTCGACTAAGAAACTTCAGAATGGCGGGCTCAGACACCCCAGATTCTTGTGTATCTACAGGGGCAGAAAAGAAACGGACTTGTTAAGAGTGTCATACTCGTATGGGCGAATTTACCATGTTTCGAAGATAACCAAAACATGAAAATAGATGCCGCAGTTCAACAAGGTGTGTTTCGTTATCCAGGCCACACGGAAACTTCAATTCGATTGGGTCATATTCGGTATAAAATGAGTATTGATACTGTAGAAACATGTTTTCACGACCACATACAGTATTTTTCTGCGAGAACTGATAGCTTCTGGTGCTAAGCTGAGCGTTGTGGGATCTTTGCTGGGGTCTACATGAGTCTCTTTGCACATCGTTGGGAACTCAGAAGGCTGCGGCACGCAGCAGGGAACATGTTCACACCTTTTATCCGGATTGGCTAGCTGAAGCATGCTGGCTGAAATTGCAAAAAGCTAAAGAGTGAATTCGCTCATGACGTCTTACCTAACATGATGTTCAGATGCGTCTAGTTCAATGTTGGTACAGATACCCTCAACTTTCTCAGCTGTTTTTTTTTCGGTGAGTCACTATCATTCTTTAGTACAGCATTCACTCCATGGTTGTATGGCTGTTAACCAGCAGAATCTACTACTATCTACTTTATTTCTGTTTATGATGATGTTGACTGAGTCCCCCATTAAGGATTAAGCAAATTCAATCGTATTACAGAAGAGGCGTAGGGAAACCTATCACACAGTCGCGCAGAGCATCGTCGTAGTGCCAAAAAGAATGGTTACGGTGCGAGTGTTAGATGATAGAATGTATGATTACTTACGGGTCATACGGAGCCTCCTGGAATGACCCGTTTTGCGACTTTCAACCCTCTCACCATTCCCTAAATACCAACTAAGAACGTGGTTCTTTCAGGAAAAGATTTCTGAATTAAAGAAACTGGTGTTGAACGCAACTGAAATTCACAAATCTCTTCGGGTGTGGTTCACTATGGCAGATTTGTTCAGTTCACAAGTTAAGGCACTCCAGTTCAGGACCAACCATCACTGAAACTGATCTACTCCAAACAGGTGTCTTTACTGCTTCCAGCGAGATAGGATTTTGTGAGCACTGTTAGTGATTTAGCATCGTCTCTGACTCCAGACAACAAGAAATTCAACTCACCATTAGAAGCATTGACAGATTTCACTTCTCATATGCAAGCCAAATCAAGTGTTTGGAATTGTGTAGCATTGTAATCGGTATTGATTATATCACACGAAAAGTGGATTTGCGTAACACAATGTCTCTACAGAATAGCAGCGGCCGTAACAATGTTTGAGGCTGCAGTTCGTCTGACCAACAAATTGAAAACGTCAAGCTTGATTTGAGGTTGGTAGCATGTGATTTGGCATAATAGTGGGAAAGAGGCAGCTAAGGGTTTAGGCATTGTTGGCGTTGTGATCACCCCGTTCTTGGCTGTCCGCTAACCGATATCGGTGGCGTTCGTGCTGTCATTTTATATCTAGAATGTCTGATTGAGCGACTGGAGGTGGAAGCGTTTCCGAATAATTGCGGTAAGCCAGCAGCTAGCGCCTTCCTTATCTGCCGTTTTCTTTTTCGCCATAAGAGCGAACAAACTTTGTGGTCGTGCGGTAGTGAAGCCCTAGTATCAACATCGATATTGCTGTCGATGACGTCGCCGGGTCAAAACGGCAAGCAAAGCGGTGTAATTGCTTTACGAAAGGTCAGTGAACAACGGTTCATAATGTCTCCTGCAGAAAAAAGGAAAGCAATCACGACAACCATCTGGTCACTCTGGTGCTGGAAAAAGAGCGTAAGTATGGATTACAACGTGTACTAACGAACGGAACACCATCTTTGAGGTCGCTGTTAGTCCCTCAGATGGTAGTCAGCATACGTCATTGAAAGTAGCGGCATCGGAAATGTCTTCAGTGTTATGTCAACAGCAGTCAGAGACCAGGCGGACCGAGATTGTGATCCAGAAGTGGTCAGCCTTCTTTAGTCGCATAACTCCTGATGAATTCACGAGCCCTCCCGGTTAGAAAATGAATTTCCTCTGATGAACTAGCACGCACTGAACCGTGAGTAGATAATTATGCTTGTGGCAGAAACACTTGTGATATGGTAACCGACGAATGATCAGTGCGATGAGTTCGTTTGGGACCTTTTAACGAAAAGGTTCGTTTTGGTTTCAGTCGTAACGACGGCCCTAATCAGGTCGCTACAGTGGAACACTTCTCAGAGATTAGCACTTTTGCATAGTCGGTGGTTGACTCTCATTAAGAGTACCTTCAAATAGATTTTATAGAAAGAGGAGGCCATCATACACGGACTGGATGGGATGAGTGGTAGTTAAATTCCTGATTTTTTAGGCAGTCTTGGAAATCTTTTGCCAACTGATACTTCAGCATCCATGCCATGTGCCACTTTGAGAGCGTGAGGGTTCCATACCATAGTATTCTCCTTGACGTGAGACTAACTATAGAGCTGACGAAAACTTGTCGGTTTGCGCTTCTTGAGGCTCATCAGACGGGCGTAGTCCGATCAACCTCCGCTCCTACCAGAAATCGTAGCGTTACACAGCGACTATAAAAATTAAGTTGCTGTGACTGGGAGACTCGTACTTTCCCTGCAGTGGCTTGAAGTTTCGAGTCTGGATCTCACTCCGAATATGAATAGAAAACGTAGGGCTGTTGCGTCCTTGTTGGGATTTCCAGGAAGACACGAACCAGTAATCTTCCCGATAGGACGTTAAACTCATGTTTTCAAGCCCCAAACACCCTGCTGCTCACAAAGCAAAACATCCCAGATAAAATAGACTTTTCTGTGAGAATTCACCTTATGTGGATTTGGCAAACACAAGATCACGCGACAGAAACTGCGTGAATAGGAAATGAGTGGCGCTATATCCAAGTAGCTGAGACTACTAATCGTCCACCCGTAGCGAACTGCAGTATTGCAAGTCCTAACAGGAATGGCGTCTAGAGCATCTTAAGAGAGTCTAGACGAGATTTGCGGAACTTCGGCCTTATGAAGGATGTGGTATAACGAATGAGTTGGCGGTGACCAGTAGGTAGGAAGCGAAGGATATTAGAGCTCGCAGACGACAGAACTCGATATTCTGAAGATCCTTCAACTCCTAAGGTATGTCTGAGGCTGACAATTCATCAAGTTTTGTACATCGTCGTCATCATTGTCAGCTGTAAGAACCGCGTACTCGTCGCACACTGGTTGTAGCTGCCACAGTTTCGTTCACCGATGATTGGGGGGGGGAGGTAGCTGCGCATTGCACGCGCGAGCTGTTAATTGGTGCATAAATCCAGCACCGTCAGTGGGTTGTCAAGCGGGGGGGTGGAAAAGGAGCTATGCATTGAAGGCAATAGCTTGGATGCACGAGCGCCATTGAGGGCGCGACTGGGCCATGTCTGATAATGTCTCTAGCCATTGATGTGGCCCGTCTCGGGGTCCCCATCCAGGAAGACGGCAGTGACCAGCGCAGCTGAGTTTGCTGGTAATGGCCTTCATACTTCGCTGCCAAGTCATTGTTTGACCGCCTCTGGCTCTCTTCCACCCTTCACATGGTTGGGCGAAAAGAGCCCTTCGAGGAAGTCGGTCGACTGGCATACGCAGCACGTGGCCAAGCCAACGCAACCTGTGCAGTGTGATCAATTCATCTATCGAGGGTGAGTTATTTCTCCCGAATACCATTCGACGTACTTCAGAATTGCTGATCCGGTGTTCCCACCAGATTCGGGCAATGCTCCGAAGACATCGATGGTCAAACACTGAAAGTCTTTTGACGTCCTCGGCGCGCAGCGGCCAGGTTTCTGATCCATATAGTAATATGGAGCGCACCGCAGCATTGTAAACTCGACCCTTGACAGAGAAACTGATGTCACGCCTACGCCACAGGTGACGTAGGTTCGCAAAAGCTGCTCTGGCCTTCCCAATCCGGATGGAAATATCATCTTTCGCGAGACCACCGGGACTGATACAGCTGCCCAGGTAGACAAATTTGTCTACTACCTCAATCGGTTCATCCGCAAGCATGAGGCTAGGGTTCGAGCCCACCCAGTCTTGCAGTAGCACTTTACACTTTGCAGGTGTGAAGCGCATACCAAACCGCGAGGCAGAATTATTTAGATTATTTAGTATTGTTTGCAATGCCACGGGGTCAGATCCTAGAAGAGCTATGTCGTCTGCGTACTCGATGTCTGTGAGCGGAGGCCCAGGGAGCACTTCGACCCCACAGGCATTAGAGGCTGGTAGTGAGTCTTCCATGATCGTATCAATGACGAAGTTAAAGAGGAAAGGTGAAAGAGGACAACCCTGTCGGACACCACTTGATGTGGTGAACTCAGGAGAGAGCTTCCCGTAGACCTTTACACGGCCGCGGGAGTTGGCGTACAGCGCCTTAATGAGGTTCAAGAATTTATGAGGGACACCTTTGCTCCACAGACAATGCCATAGTGCTTGGCGGTCCACAGAGTCAAAGGCAGCTTTCAGATCAAGAAAAACAACCATTGTTGGTTGCTGGAAGCAGTGTCGCTGTTCCAGAATCTGTCGGAGGGTGAAGATATGGTCGATGCAACCTCTTGCAGGACGGAACCCAGCTTGGTTTTCACGGATCTGCCTCTCCCTGTGTTCAGTCAACCTTCGAAGGATAAGGCCAGAGAGCACCTTCGATGCCACAGCTAACAGGCTGATGCCACGGTGGTTTTCGCATAGCGTCCGTGTACCCTTTTTGAAGATAGGGATAACTGTCGACATGCCCCATTCTGCAGGCACTTGCTCTTCGTCCCACATAGTACCAATAAGCTTTGTCAAGTGGGTCACCAGGGAATTTCCGCCTTCTTTGAAGAGGGCTGGATACAGACCGTCCGGTCCTGGTGCCTTCTCACGTTTCAGTGCGGCTACTTCGTACCTTATTTCTTCTTCCGAAGGGCGATCAAGGTTTACATTCCATTCGCCCGTATGCACTATCTCCACAGGCTGTGTTGCAGGAGGCCAGCTGAACTGCTCTTCGAAGTGTTCGGCCCATCTCTCCAGTCGACGTTTTTGCGAGTGAATTAATGAGCCATCTTTTTCACTTATCGTTTCGCTGACCGTCGCTTTCCTAGGGCCAGTCGATCGTATCAGTTGATAAAGGACACGGCTGTTTCCCGTAGCAAAAGCCTTCTCCATCTCCCGAGCTTTCGATGTCCACCAGAGCTCTCGGTCTTTCCTTAGACTCTTCACTATTTGGCGTTTGAGGGATTTGCGTGCGCCGTCGTACTCGTTGCCTGCTGGTATGGCTTTCCTGGCATCAATCATGGATAACGACCTCGACGACATCCAGTGGTCCCGTGGTCGAATTGGAGAAGTCGGGCAGGCAGCACTGAACGCCGCTAGTATAGCTCCTTTCACATTTTGCCACGCTTCATCCACATGTTCACTGCCACCACAGTATTGTTTTACTGTGGAGAGTTGTTGGGCTAGCTCAGATCGATACTGTTGAGCTATGGCAGTTCTTCGAAGATAGTGGATTGGCACGTTTCTTGCCGACTTGCGAGGGCCTGAAGGGAAACGAACTGTCAGGCGTGCGCGCACCATGGCGTGATCGGAATCAAGTGGTGTGCCCCAGAAGGAACGGCAGTCTTGAATTGTGGCTCTCCACCGGTGACTGATGGCCACGTGGTCCAACTGGGTCCACGGTTGATTTGTAGTTGGCGGCCGCCAGGTTACGCGGTGCGAACGTTTATGTTGAAAGTTCGTACTTGCCAGAAACAGTTCGTGATCAGCACACAACTGAAGGAGGCGATCTCCGTTGTCTGTTCGGCGAGCATCGACTCCGAATCGACCACCCAAATGTGATTCCAAGGAGCTCAGACGACCTACTTGAGCATTCAAATCGCCTGCAAGGATCACAATGTCAGTGCTTTTTGCCTGACGAATGAGCCTGGATAGCTCTCGATAGAAAGTATCCTTCTCCGCATCAGAACTGCAGTCCGTCGGGGCATAAGCCGACACGACAAACAGGCACCGCTTTTTATGCCGCGAGGCATTGAGCTTGATTGAACTGGATAACCGGACGGCGCAGAGACGACTGTTCACTGGGATCCAATCCAGCAAAGCGCGTTCAGCTCTGGGGCTGAGTGCAACTCCCACGCCATACATTCCACGAGTCATCGCTTCTGGGTCACCAGACACACGGAGGGAGAAATGTGAAAGAGCTGGGTTCATCCTTGGCGTTCTGAGATGCAGAACCACGCTCGGGTCTTGTATGCGTGTTTCGGAGACACAGCATACATCAATTTTAAGGGAGTACAAGGTTTCAGCAAGCATAGCCTGTTTGCCAATTTGACATAGAGTACGGACGTTAAAAGCTCCTATATAGAAAGGATCTCGTGGATTTAGAAAGGTGTTATTTTGTTTAAGGCTTGTAGGCAGCGTGGAGCATAAGGCCCTTCGGTCAGATGACTGACAGTCAAATGGCCCAGCGACGTTTGCTTGTGCAGTGGGAAGGGGTTGGGGAGGGACATCGGTGGACGCTGAACTGCGCGGGCAAATGATACTTCCCGGTTGCCCAGGCCGAGGAAGGGGGTTTGGTTGAGGTACCCCACCTTGAGCCTTCGACTCAAAAGTCTGACCCACAAGGCAGTGGGATGACGTAGGGTTTTGTTCGGGGACCCTGACCCTAGCCTCTGACTCAAAAGTCTGACCCACGAGGCAGTGGGAGAATGTAGGGTTTTCTTTGGGGACCCTGCCCGGAGCCGATGACTCAATAGTCTGACCTGCTCGGCTGCAGGGGGTTGGCCTAACCCGAGGGCGCAGGGAATAAGGCATTACTGTCTCATTCCTGATGCGGCTGCGCACAGCAGGTGCCTTTTGAGCAGCACCGGGCTCTTTGGTTTTAAAAGTATTTCGACCGTATTGGATAATGCGCCGGCGGTCACGGTCAACCGTTGGGCGATCGGAGTGTGCGGTTTTTGGGGCCGACCTTTTCTAACCCGTCCTTCCTCGGGGGAAGGCAGCATCGCTGCTTCCATAAATATGGACATGCTGGTCGCCTGGGGGAAACACCTTACTGCCTTCACACTCCTGTCGCAGAAGACAGTAGGACTTTACCCCCAGACCGCCTCGTTGCACGATTACTCGTAGTACGGGGTCTCGCTGCTCTTGGTCTGGCTGTTCCCCTTTGGCCTTCCTGGCATGGTTGCACCTTGTGGAACGAAGTTCCAGCCAGTGTAGCCCGCGGGAGGATTGCAGCACTGAAGCCCGACCACCACGTCAAGGTGGCAGCTTTCGTTCGGGAAGTTTTGTACTATCGGCCGGGTTGGAGGTCCCTTCGAAAAAAAAACCAGCGATATGTACGAGGACTCGTTCTCACAGCGGGTGAGTGAGTTGGGCGGGAATATTTTGCTGCACGCTGAATTCATCTAGCGCCTTCCGAATTCCGTGGCATACTGATTGGAGAACTACGAATCTCCGTCCAGCGATATGTACGAGGACTCGTTCTCACAGCGGGTCTGTGAGTTGGGCGGGAATATTTTGCTGCACGCTGAATTCATCTAGCGCCTTCCGAATTCCGTGGCATACTGATTGGAGAACTAAATACGAATCTCCGTGCAAACAAAACGGTACCATGCCACGAAATATACTGGTGAGATTACTATCCATCAACACTATCTTATAACAAAACCTGATACGGTGAAGTCGATGGTAGGCGAAGGCAACTAAACTAGGTCCCACATTAGTGTGACGATCGAAATACTGTGCCAATTTTGCTAGGGGTCAGCGGTCATGGGCGTAATATTCTCGTACACTATGGGATCCGAAACGTCCTCGTAAGGAAGAAAGCCATCTCCAAGTGAGGTAAATTACGAATAACGCTGTGGTCAAAACCACATTATTCTCAGTGGTCTTACTGTCCAATGGTACCAAACTACTCATAGCGACCACCTACTTGTTGCGTTCCGTTGGCACGCGGCGATGGCATCGTAAACGTGTTGCACTATATTTTGTTTGCTGAGCGTGGTCTGTAACAGAAAAGAACAAAGAGAGTAGACGTTAACTGGGAGCAGTGAGTGGGGGCAGGATGGCTCGGTGCTTAGGACGCAGATTTACCGTCCTGAAGGTCCAAGATGGTAGTGAAACATATTCATAAGTATGCCTAAAAACAGATGGTTCTAAAACGCCTTTTATTACCCATCCAGGATTCACAACAACAAACATTCGGTATCTAAACTATTGGCTGCGTGTTGTGCGCATTTCTGCTACAGGCTTGACAATCCATACAGAATTAAAG